GCTCGCCCGGAGGGGACTAACTGCTCCCGGGGGGGAGGCGCGCCCGAAGCAAATCGCTAGCGGGGGATGGGCTGCCGCTCGAGGCCGCCGACGCGTCGCGGGGAAAGCCGGCCAACTAGGCGGCTCGGCGCGGCGGCGCGGGCTGTGTGCAAAAGGGCGTGCGGGGAGAGGCTCCCGGCCGACGGTGGAGGGAGGTCCTGAGGGCGATGGGGGAGCATCCCATGCCCGAGCTCTCACCGAGTGTCTGTCTCGGCTCGAGACGGAGCCCTTCGGCGCCGCGGGCGCGCGGGGAGGAGGGCGTCGCATGAGAGTGTCGTGGTCTGTGTGTATTCTTTTGCCGCCCTCGCCATGGCGCACATACGGAGTCTGTATAGAGAGCAGACTAGGTCCAGCCCTGGGTGGCGCAAGATCTGAGGTTTTGTGACAATCCTCAGATCCGTGTTTTTCTCGTTGTTTTGTCGCTCGCTCCGCTCGCCACCTCACGCTCCGTAGCCCGGCCATGGCCAGTACCCCGCGTCTCAGTGAGACGCGTGGTACCATCCAACTCCGGTCGACGGGCTCGAATGCGCTCAGCCTCAGGAGGGACAAAACCGCGCGAATTCTGCACGCCTCGCTGCACCGCTGGCTTGACTGAATCAGGCAGCAGCAGGCTGCTGCTGCTGCCACAGCAGCAGTCTGCTGCGGCCCTAATACGCAAGTTGATGACTAGCAGCACTGCCGGGGGCATTCGAGCCGATACAGCCGGTGTGCTGTGCACTGCCACCTGCCCGCGGCTACGCACAATGTGCGCTCGCATTGGATGAGCCCTGCTGATGGACCTGCATCGCCTAGCTGCACGAGAGCAATGCCGCAGGCAGTGGCCGTGGCATACACTGCGAGCACACTTGGTGCAGCTGCGAGGTGCAGCAAGAGCACGTCGTTCCTGCCTCTGATGCCACTCTCGCGGCTTGCAGCGCGTCACTCGCGCATGCTCTCCAGGAGCTATGGCGGGCGCGTGTGTGGGGCTGTAGCCTGTGTTTGGCCGGTTCTGACCCGTTTACTATCAGTATCATGTCCGGGCCACAAAAAATCGCACACGGGTAGCGGCTCAGGGGCCCAGTAAGTCGCGGAATCGCCAAATGTCACAACCTGCGCCACCCAGGGCTGGACCTAGTCAGCAGGACGCTGCGCTGGCGCGACAAGTGGAAGTGCCGAAGAGGCAAGTGGGACAGAGAGGACGCGGGGCTGCTACATAGACGAACATACAGTTACAGATCGTGCTTCGTGGCCGTTCTTCACAGGCACTGGGCCGACCTGCGGCCGTCGCTACGAGCGGGTGCCTCAAAGTCAGCCTCCGGAGGCTATTCGTCGCGTCGAGCCTGCGGTGGCCGTGACATGCGCTGCAGCGGCGAGGCGCCGTCGCCACGATCGCCGCCAGCGGCTGCCGGCTGACGGCTGACCACGGCTGCGGCGAACGGCGACGGCTCGGTTCGCGTTCGCTCCGCGAGGGTGCGACTGAGCCTGCCGCGCTCGATCTGGGAGCCACTCGGCGCCAGGTCGAACGGCGGTCGGCTCGGCCACTGCGAAGCCCACTAGCGAAGCCCACAGAGTGGGAGACTCCTATCACCGCCTCTGCCACCCACGGCGTGAGCCTTGGCCGCCTCTGTCAGTGTGCCCGTGATAGTGAGAGACTGCCAGTGAGAAGCTGGAGGAATCGCTAGTCGACAGAGATCGCCAGTGGAATAGGGAGTCCACCGTGCTGCGAGCCTGTCGCTGTCCCTTGTCAGGAGCAGGAGAACTAGGAGAGCGCAACCAGTAGGAGGCCCGCGCCTGCCCCCGTGCCGCCGGGTGCAACTTTGTCCTATACGAGAGGGGAATCCCTGGGACCCTGTCGTGTGGGTGAACCCTGCCCAGCCCCCCTCCGTGTCGCGATGCGCTCCCCGCTCCCATTCCCCTGTGTCCCTGATCGTCCGTACAAGATTCTGCTCGCGCAGGTGGGGACCCTGCGCCTTCTCCCACCCCTTGTTTGGTGTGTCCGTTTTATTTATTTATTTATACAGGACGCGGTACAAACGGGGTACACCAAAAGGCACGGGCTGCCTGCACGGCGTTATGTATGTATGTAGAAAGATGAACAACAGTCAGGCTCGGACTGGACACCAACGCGGTATGGGTGGACGCGAGACAGATGATGACGACACGCACGAGCGACACACAGACACAAACAAGCTCACAAGACACACAGCCAGCTGGCTGCCACACACCTTGAGTTG